TCTGGGACGCAGGTGCACGCGGGTGTGTGTGTGCATGCGTGTTGGGTATGTGTGTGCGAGGGCAAGCGTGTCCCGGCCTCGAGTGTGTGTGGTGTGTGTGGGCTCAGGCCCCTGTCCCAGGCCCGAGCATTTCATCCCGTGGGGGAGGGGTGCTGGCCTAGGGGGGGAGCCACGCCTGGGGTCCACTTGCTGCCCTGTCTCCCTCCCCCGCAACATCTCCGGGTGTTTGGAATTTAGTTTTTCTGGTTTTGATCTCCCCACCCCACCTCCTGTACTAGGTAGTTCACAGAGAGACGTCCTGGGGTGGGGTGGGGTTGGTTTCGGTGGGTGGGGGGGTCTTTTTTCCTTTTTGTGTGTGTCTGTCGTTGATCTGACAATTCTCTCTCCTCCCCACTGGCCTTCCCCTACTCCTCGTACTTGTACGGTACAAGCAATAAAGACACTCGTTTCAGACCGGGGCCCACCACCCTGGGCCTCTCCTTGCTTTCGGAGTCCGGCCCCTGGCACCAGCTGCCTGCTGCTCCCCGTGCTCTGTTCACAGGGCTGGTCAGCCACGGGCTGGGGATGGGGGGCACCGGCGGAGGAGTTTGGGGGAGGCTCCAGGGCCTGGGGGTGGCGGGGTACGGTGGACAGAGACCATTCCAGACCCTCAGAAGCTGCTGAGGCAAAAAGAGGTGGGGTGGCTGTGAGCAAGAAGAGTGTGCCCTGGAGGTGGGCGTGAGAGGGAGTGGGTTCGTTTCCCGTGGCGCCTGAGCCGAGAGGGGGCGTTGCCAGCACATCCCCGTCTCCTCACTTAGGCTAAACCAGGGAGCCTTGAGGCCCCCAAGCTCCTTGGTGTGTCAGTGGGATTTGTGGTGGCTCTCAGCTGGGCCACCTCAGGTTTGGTTAGAGTCCTCCCAGCTCTGGGCATCCTCTGACAGCTGTCCCCTTTATCCAGAGTCCCCACGGTTGAATCACTCCTCCCAGACCCAGGGCCGGAGCTGCCCCTGCTAAGCCCGGCATGGGAGAAGTCCCTGTCAGATTTTGCCAGACGGTGTTAGGGCTTCACGTGCATGGAGTCTGAGATCTTGAGGGTAGCAGAAAAGTCGGATCCGGTTGATAGAAATTAGCATTAGCTATGGCCAAAACTCAAGGAATTTTTTGTTTTTCTTCACTTCATGTGGACTTGATTTAAGTACGAGAGTAAGTCCCGGTGGGCAGAAAGAAAAGCCTTTTACTCTTCCCTCTGTCACAGCCCCCTGAGGGGACGGGTGCTAGAGGTTCCCTTCACGTCGCACTGCCACTCAGGTCTCCTGTGTGGGGACGTTCCTGAGTCAGCCTCCGTGTTGTCTCACGTTCCTCCGGGTGGGGCCCCCCAGGTCAGTCACCTGCTCCCTCAGGGCAACATGCGTCCTTAGACGGAGCGGTGCTGCCTGCTTCCACAGGAGAGCTTTTCCCAAAGAGCGAGTTTCAGGTGGCAGGGTTTTAATAAAATTTTACCAACTGGGAAAATTAGATTTTGAGTAGATTAATCTTTTGTCATGTGCACATGGAAGATTTCACAAGTTTTGTTTGTGTGTGTAAAGAATAAGTCAGGTCCCCCAGATCCCAGGCCTTGGGCACGCGTATTGGCGCGGTGGACCTGGTGAACTGCCCGTCCCCCCTCCTTTTGCAGAACTTTCCTCCCTGTTGATCTTGCCACGCCCGGGCCGTGTCCTGCCACCTGTCACGTAGGCTCCCCCCAACATATGCACACGAATAGGGGTGCTGGGTCGTTGGTAAAAACGAGATCCTCCTTCAGCCATTTGCGTTCTGGGGAACTCCTCGTGGACACTGCCATCGTGCCTTCCAGTTGCTTCACGAGGTTCCTGGGGTGATGCACCCCAGCTGATCGAGCCGCCTCCTGTTGACGAGAGTTTACTTGGTTTCCAGTTTCTTTGCTGCTGCCAGCAGTATTATAATAAACCTTAGCAGTCCGTTTTTACTGCACCTGCCTTTTATTTTTGTGGCTTACCTTCCAGGGTTGCCGTATTTAATGTGTCAGCTAGCTTTCCCCAAAAGGTGTAGTGATTCACGTATTTTTAACTTTAATTTTGAAGTAATTGCAGACTTGTAGAAAATTGTGAAACTTTTGAAAATAGTACTAAAATGATCCAGGAGTGGAGCAGGAAATAGCCACGTGAGCCCGGGGCATCCTGTGGTGCCCGGGAGTAAGGACCTGCTAACCAAACTGGACTCTCGCTGATGGCGCTCGAGCCGGCGGGAGCCCATGGGAAGAGCTCCCAGTGGCAGAAGCCGAGAGCAGTTAGAGCAACGAAATAAGTAGCGTAGTATTGGATTTTACCCCAAGTATAGAATGGATGAGCCCACACTGATATAAATGGTGAATACACAGTGGGAAGAGACATCTGTGCAGAACTGCAGAGAATTTCTGTGGATACCCTGCCTTCACAGAGGGGGAGGCAGACCCCCACGCCTTAGCTGTGGGCTGCAAAGTGACTTCCTTCCGAAGAGTGCCCTGTGGACAGAGGGGAAGGCGGCTCTTCAGTGGAGAAGCCTGACGCACTGCGTCTGCCAGGTGGTCAGGGTCCATGCCGAGGGTGACGAGTCACGTCAGCAGTAGGTGCCTTGGACGTGACGCGATGACAACTTGGCTTTACTAAACTCTGTGTCTTCCTGCCCCAAATGCACAACCCCATGTAATAAGGAGAAACCACGTCCCACACATCCTGATTCAGGGACGTTCTACAGAATACCTGACCTGACCGCTACTTCTCAAAACTGTCAAGGTTGTTCAAAACAAGGGAAGCCGGAGAGACTGTCACAGCCAAGAAAAGCTTTAGGAGACATGAAGACTAAGTGTGGGATCCTGGAACAGAGAAAGGACAGTAGGTAAAAAGTCAGCAACTCTGAATAAAGCATGGCCTTGAATGATAGTGTGTCCCCATTGGTTCATTCAGTTGTGACAGGTACCCCTCTCATGTCAGATGTTAATAGCAGAAACGGGGGGTGGGGTGTAAATCTGCTCAAATTTTTTATTTTAAAAAAGTACCAAGAATTCTCATCTACCTTTCGCGCAGGTTCCCCACGACATTTTACATTTACTTGATTCCCGTCCCCGCCCCTGTGTTAACGTGTCTGTCCTAACACGAGAACATTCTCTCTCATGACCGCAGTCTAATTACCAAGGTCAGGAAGTTAGCGGTGAAGCAATGCCCTTCTTTCAGACCTTCCTCAGATCTTACCAATGGTCACACAAAAGCCCTTGTAGACAAAAGAAGAAAAGGCCTGCCTAGTGACTAGTGCCGGCTCACGGGTTCAGAGCTTACGGGGCAGTTATTTTGCAGGATGTCCCTCAATCGGTTGGTTGGTTGATGGCGCCTCGTGGTTATTCCAGCCATTGGCAGGAATTCCCAGGCACGATGTGCGCTCCAAGGCATCCTCTCTGGAGGGGCAGGAGGCCACCTGTCCCATTACTGGGGATGACTCTGACCCCGGGGTTAAGGTGGCGTCTGTCAGGTTCCTCCACTGTCAAGTTAGTACTTTCTCTGTGTAGTTAGCGAGTATCTTGTGTCAAGATACTGAGAGTGTAAATATCCGCGTTCTTATCGAGCATTCAGGTAACGGGAACAGCAAGCACAAAGGCTCTGAGGCAGGCAGGTACCTCAGGTGTTCCGGGAACATAAAGAGGACAGCGTGTCTCAAGTGGAGTGAGGGAGGGGGAGAGCGGAAGGAAATGAGGTTAGAGAGAGAACAATGGGCCAAAGGGACCTCGTGGCCAAGGTAAGGAGTTTGGGGTTTATGGTAAGTATGACAGGAAGCCATTGGTCCAGCGTCTCACGCTCCTCTCTGCTCACTTTTCCAGCCTCGTCGACCTCTAAATGCCTGAGAATAGCAAGCTCTTTCCTACCTCAGGGCCTTGGCGTCAGCCTGTTCCCTCCCCTTGGAATATTCTTCCCTCTCTGCATTCCTGGCTCCTTGTCTTTCAGGTTTCAGCTCCCATGTCATGTCAGAAAGGCCCTTCCAGACCACTGTCTCTAAGTTAGAACCAGCCTGTATGCTCATTCATTCAACAAATATTTACTGAGGACCGACTATGTGCCCGGCGCTGTTCTAGGCACTGAGAATACAGCAATGAAAACAGACAAGCCCTGTCCTCGTGGAGCTCACATTCTAGTCAGGAGGGAGACAATAAATAGGAAGGCAGTAGGTGCTAAGGAGAGAATAAGTGCAGACAATGGGGACCAGAAATGCTCAGGATGGCACTTTTCATGGGGAGGGTAACATCTGAATAAACACCTTAAAGGAAGGGAAGAGCATTTCAGGCAGAGGGAGCAGCCAGTGCAAAGGCCCTGAGGTAGGAGCATACCTGGTGGGGATGAGCCAGGAGGCCAGTGTGGTGGGAGAGGAATGAGTGAGGGGGAGAGAGATAGGAGATGAGCTCAAAGGGGTGTGTATGGGGTAGGGGGGAAGATACGATAGGGCTTCATGGACTTTCAACTTGAGAGGGTGATCTGACTTCTTAGGTGTGCACAGGATCCTTTCTGGCTGCGTGTGGGGAACAGACCGTAGGGGAGGGGACCAGGGAGGGCAGTGAGGAGGCCGCTGCACTAGTCCAGCCAGATCGCCAGCCACTCATCCCGATCACCACCTCAGCTCTGGGCCGTGCACTTGGTAAAGGCAGCCACCACAGGTGCTCCCCACCAACCCCCGCTGCACGGAACACAGAGGCCTTCCTTGAATATTTGTTAGGTGACTTATTGCTCCCATGTCTTAAGCTTTTACTGTATTTCCCTGTGTGGGACACTTAAAAACACAATCTTAGAAGTTTTGAAATAATCCCTACTTTCTAGCCAAGGAAAGTCAGGCTCAGAGGGGCTGCCTCTGGTCATATAGGAAGTAGCAGGACGAGGATCGGACTCCAGCTGCCTGGCCTTAGAGGGTTTGGAGGGGGCAGAGCCAGCCTGTGTAACACTCGCCACTGCCTATGCACCTGCCCAGGTGAGGCGTGCTCAGCGCGCATGCGCCTAGGCTCATTTAAAGCGCCCTCCAGGAGGGCTACGCTCCAGCTGGAAGAGGTGAGCGCGGGGCTTGGCTCCGACGCCAGCCTGGAGGATGCTGGTGAGAGGCAGGAGCCAGGGGCCCACCCCCGGCTCGGGCTTCTCTCCAGGCGCTGACGCCTAGCCCCTCCCTTGCAGAGTCCAGCTGCCTCGCTCAACCCGGAGCCTCCGAGCGCCGCAGTCCCCGACGGCGTCCCCGCGGGCACGAGCGGCTCCCCGGGACGCCCGGAGAGGCGCCCGGGGCCGTGCGCGCCGCCGGGGCTGGAGGAGGCGCTGAGCGCGCTGGGGCTGGAGCGAGAGCGCGAGTACGCAGGGGACATCTTCGCCGAGGTCATGGTGAGCGGACGGGCCGGGGCCCCCCTGGACCGCGGGCCACTCGGGCGCCGCCCCCAGCCCTGGAGGGCAGCAGAGGGTTCGGGTTAGACGAGGCCAAAGCTGACCCGCTCGCCCAACACCCATTCCCCGAGCATTTCCGAACTCCCCCTCGCCAGCCTCAGCTCTCCGCCCTCCCCCCTGACTTTCCAGCCCCCGCCCCTAACCTCTTGGCTTGTTTTTTCTGGCACAGTCACCTGGGCGGGTTCCCGCGCTCGGAGTGCCCTTCCCCTCCTCCCCAGGCCGTTTGCAGCCCCTCCTTTGGTTTTTCACAGCCCCGCCTACTTGTCCCTCACATTTATTCGTTTAACACATAGCGATTTATTAACAAATGTTTGTGAACACCGGGGATGCTGTAGGGAACAACACAGACAGTCTGTCCTCGTTGTGGGGAGACAAGTAAATATAGGTGATAATTTCAGAAGAGCCACAAACACAGGCCGTGGGAGTCCGCAGACATCTGTATGGGATAGGTACCGTCAGAAGAAATACTGAAGGCAGGAATTTATTTAACAAACATCTTGTGCATGCCTCTCCCGGGCCAGGGGCTCTATCAGGACCTGAGATGCAGCTGGGATCTGGACAGAAATCCCTGGCCTTGTGGTGCCTGAAGCCTCGTGCGGCAAATGGACAAAAGTCACAAGGAAACACATCTCCAGACTGAAAAGATTATGAGGAAAATAAAGTGATGATGGGGTGCAGGGAAAAGAAAAAGGGAAATTTTAGCTAAAACTTGAATGACTGTGAAGGAGTCAGCAATGCAAGGAGCTGGGGAAGGACCATTTCAGGTGGAGGGAACAGTACATAACATGCAAAGGCCCTGAGGTAGGAATGAGCTTGGCATAGTCTAGGACCCCAAAAAGGCTGTTGTAGGCAGGGTGTGGATTGTGAGGGGGGGAGAGGGAAGAGGTGGTGTTGGAGCAGTGGCAGGACCTGAGAGAGTCCGAGAGGAATTAGGATTTTTCTCCTGAGGATACTGGAAACCATGGGACGGTTTTAAGCTGGGGAATTCCTTGGTCAGATTGGTACTTTAGAAAGACCCTTCTGGGTGCTCTGAGGGGGATGGGTTGACAGTTGGTGACCAGGAGTGGAATCTGGGAACCCAGGGGGAGACACTCAAGGAGGTCCAGTGCTCATGGGGGCTACAGACTGGAGAGGTGCCTAACGAGGGGTCCAGAACAAAGTCCAGGCTTCTAGATGGGCACACAGAAGAGAAGCATTTTTGGAGGAGATTTTGGAGGCCAGTTTGGGTGTGGCACTCATGTGACATCCAACTGGTTGGAGAAGGCTGCAGCACCCAGGGCTGCAGCCCAGGAGAGGAGCCGAGGCACAGGTGCGGAGAGTGAGCCTCCCCTTCCCGACCCCAGGTGTGCAGCGCGCTGCCCCGGAGGGCCCTGCCGCGCACCGTGACCCCGGAGATGCGCGCGCTAGTGGTGGACTGGCTGGTCCAGGTGCACGTACGTACAGGGGGGAGGGCCAGGGCCGGGCCCGCGTCGCAGCCTGGGACCCTGGTGGTCACCCGTGCCCCTCCCCAGGAGTACCTGGGCCTGGCGGGGGACACGCTCTACCTAGCCGTGCACCTGCTGGATTCCTACCTGCGCGCGGGCCGAGTGCGCCTACGCCGCCTGCAGCTGCTGGGCGTGGCCTGCCTCTTCGTGGCGTGCAAAGTGGAAGAGTGCGTGCTTCCCGAGGTACTGCCGGGGTGGGGCTGGGGAGGGTGGAGCTCTGCTACTCCCGGCGGTCACAGATTAAACGCCTACTGTATGCCAAGCGAGCGCTTTCGTACTCTCGGAATCCCAGCATATCTGGGTGAGGTAGGGGACGCACCGACGTGTCCCTTTAACAGAGGAGGAGACTGAGGCCCGGAGAGAGGAAGCCGTTTGCCCCAAGTCAAGTAGCTGGGACTTAGATTCAGTCTTCAATAGTTATAGTAGTTACGGCCCATCTTGAGTAGTTGCTGTTGACAAGCACAAACTCAGTGCCTTATCAGAGCTGCCCGGGGAAGTTGGGGGTAATCTTTTTACGAATGAGGAAACTGAGTCTCAGAGAGCCTCGTGAATGTCCATGTCACACAGTGAGTAGATGGTAGGGTTTGAACTCGAACCCAGGTCTTTCTGACTCGGAAGTCGGTGCTCTCCACGATTTCCAGAAAACACATCAATGGCCCCATTTTACAGATCAGGAAACTGAGGTCCAGAACGGGGGCTGACTTGATCCCAGGTGCTCCAGGGCAGGGAGTAACGAGCGAGGCCCAAGACTCCCCCCCCTTTCCCCCAATCCGCAGCCCGCCTCCCTCTGCCTCCTGGGCGCTGGCTCCTTCTCGCGGGCGGAGCTGTTGCGCGCCGAGCGCCGCATCCTGAGCCGCCTGGATTTCCGGCTGCACCACCCGGGCCCGCTCCTTTGCCTCGGGCTGCTCTCCGCGCTGGCCCGGAGCAGCCACCAGGTGCGCGGGGCGGGGGCGGGGCCCGCGCGGGGAGGGGCGGGGTCTGCGCGGGATAGGGGCGTGGCCTGATGGTCTCCCAGCCGCATCGGCAGGTGACGCTGCTTGCCACCTACTTCCTGGAGCTGTCCCTGCTGGAGGCCGAGGCCGCAGGATGGGAGCCCGGCCGCCGCGCAGCTGCGGCGCTGAGCCTGGCGCACCGCGTGCTCGACGGGGCGGGCTCCGGGCCCGAGCCGGCGCTCTACAGGTACGGCCGCGGCGGAGGGTCTCTGGCTCCAGGGACCTACCTTCCTGGTCGCTGTCTCTACGTCTCAGAGAATAAGACAATTGGGGGGGTGGAGGGGGCACGCACCTAGACTTGGTTTTTCTGGGTGAGAGAGAGAATGGTATGTCTCTCTAGTCTGGGGGTGTCAGAGAATGGGGTGTTGGTGCAGATTTGGGGACCCTTAGCCTTGCCCCAGGGAGGCAGACAAGATCTCCCCAGGCCCAGAAGATGCTCTAACTGCGTTCCAGGGTTGAGAGGGAGAGGTCTGTAGGCCTCCATGCCCCAGCTCCCCTTCTGGCCGCGAATGGGGTTCCCTTTAGTCGCTAGAGCCCCCCCCCCCCCCGTTAACCCTGGCCCCGGGTGGCAGGGTGAATCGTCTGGTCTCCCGTCCCCTGCCCCCGGGGGCAGAGCTGGATGTCCGCCCGTCCTCAGCCCCACTCCTTCCCTCGCCGCGGGTCCTGGCTCTCCCCTAGCCGCGCCCTGCGGGGAGAATCGGGGGTCGTCCCCTCCTCGGAGCCCCGCAGTCACTCCCTAGATGATGGACCATGTGTCCGACCTCGAGAGAGCCCGTGAGCGGTCCTCGGGGACCCAAGTCAAGGCGTCTTCTCAGCCTCCGAGGACAGGTCGTCTCCACCGCTGCCCCCGCGCCCGCCTCAGTTTCCCCGTCTCCCCGCCGCAGCCCCGCGGAGCTGGGCCCACTCGAGCCGTGCATGGCCCGCGCCGCGCTCCGAGGCCCCGCGCCCGGCCGCGCCGCCGTCTTCCTCAAGTACGCGCGGCCCCAGCGCCGGGGCACCAGCCTCGCCGCCGCCCGCCTCCTCCGCCGCCCCCAGCCGGCGCCTCGCTGAGCCGGACTCCGCGTTTGCGCGTCGCCCACTTCAATAAAAGAGTTTTTATTCCGAGCGCTCTCTGTCCTCATTGGTCTAATTCTGGCCTGCTCTCGCTTTTGATTGGTTACTTCCTGGGCCTCTCGTCCCTCTGATTGGATGTTCTCACCAAGTGCCCTAATGGTTGCTGGGAGACGCGATGCGAATTCCGGACTCGTCCGCGAGGGGGCGCTGGCGGGCTTCCGCAAGCGCCGCTTAGCGGGATAAAACTGGGATTCCAAACGCAAATGCTCGCGGGGGGAGAGAGATGCTGAGAGGAAAATCGCAACGCAAGCTGAATGACCCTCGGCCTCAGGGTTGGGAAGAAACTAGGAGGGATGCGGACTGTGGGAAACAGAATGCCTGTCCTAGTCATGAGGAATGCTACCTTGACGTTGCCAGATTTTCAGATTTTGTTCAAGTGAAGTTGAAAATTTGCAATTCCACAAGTATCTCTGTTTTTATATGTTGGCAACTAATTCAATATTTTTTAATGGTTGCACAAGCCCGACATATTAAATATACTGGTCGGTGAGGGTCATCAGTTTGTGACAGTGAGGGTCTTTGATAGCAAGAGTTCGGTAAATGGGATCTGATCTACTCAACCTCTGAAGTGCGACAGTCAGTGGTGGGGGGGACATGCGATAGAGGGGGAGGGGAGAGTGGAAATACGGGCATGGTGCTTGGGGCTGAGACCCAAGCTAGGGTCCTGGAGGTCAGGTGGTCATACATAAATTTATTCACTCACTCATTCATTCAACAGCTGTATATGGATGTTGACTCAAAGCCGGGCACTTATCACAAACCTCACAGTCTCGTGGATGATAAGAAACACCGGTTGTCAATTGCATTACTCTACCAGGCCCTGTGCTCCGTGCTTTGCCTGCATAACATAATTCAGTCCCTACAACTACTCTGAAGTAAGCTCACTTGTTATCCCATGTTACAGGGAAGGAAGGCAAGGTGGAGGAAGATCAAGGAGTGAGAGGCTAAGGAGGGTTGAAAGACAATCACCTCATTTGCCCTCAGTTTTTCTCCCAGAAGCCTCTCACGTGTTTCCCATTCTGTACACTTTTCTTATTGTGCTGCTCACTCTGGGCTGTCACTGTCTCGTCACTGGTCTGTCTCCCCACTGGACTAGGGGCCCAGTGAGAACGGTCTGAGGCTCTCTCAGTCCCTGCTATCTCCCAGCCTCACCCAGCCCAGAGCTGGGCACAGAAAAGACATCAGTGAAAATTTGTTCATTGCATAGATAAACAAATGAGTTTCAAAGTTGCTATCATCTTGCCATGTTACTACTGATGAGGATACAGAGTTCCAGGTAATTTGGGTGATTTGTCTAAGGCATACAATTAGTGACAAAATAAGCAGGGAATTAAATCCGGACAGCTTGAGTCCATAGCCTGTGTTCTTATCTAATATGCCAAACGCCTAGTGGGCTGAAAACCAGCTTTCCACGAAGTTATCTTCCTGCTCTTTCCCCCAGACATCCCCTTTCCTTGTAGGAAGCTTTGGGAGCTTTGAGCATGGGGGAGGAGAGCAGGCAGGAGGGTGGGGAGGGTAAAGGGAGTGGGAAGGAGGGAGAGGCCGGCTGAAGAAATAGGACTGGGGCTGATTTGAAGGAGAGAGTGGGGAAGTCTTGAGGGGTTTCTCTAGACCCATAGGGGGCAGCCGGAGTCGGCTGCCGGAGGTGCGGGGGCGGAGAAAGGGTGGGGACCAGCCCCACGGGGGGCGATGCGGTAGCTGCAGCAGCGGCCGCAGGAGTTTCCCACAATGCAGCGCGGCGCGCTGTCCCCGGTGCTGATGCTCAGCGCTGCCCCGGAGCCTCCGCCGCGCCCGCCTCCCGGAACGAGCCCTGCGGCCCGCAGCCCAGCGTGCGGCGGGGGCGGGTCTTGCGCCGAATGGAGGGCGCCCATTGCTCAAATCGGCAAGGGGCGGAACCCAGAGCAAGACGGCGCTCGCCTGTTGGTCAGGAGGCTTGGAGGCGGGACCCTACGCCTTACGGAACTCGTCCATTGGTCGGACTAGGCTGGGCGGGGCGACTCACGTGGGGCCGAAGAGCGCGAAGCTGAGGCAAGGCCGCAGTTCTTCCCGGCAGCCGAGTGTGGGGCTAAGGGGCGTCTGCGGTCCCCGATCCACGAGGGTCGCTCCCTCCTGCTCAGCGCGGTCCCCCTTCGCCGGACGCTTTCAGATCCGGATGAACTCATCGCACCCACATCAACCTAATCACCCCATTTACAGGGCAGGAGACTGGCTCAGAGAGGGCAAGTGACACACCCAGAAAGCAGCAGAATTGGAATTAGAAGTTAGAAGCCACGAAAAAAAAAAGGAGACTACGCAAAAATGTAAAATATCCGCCCGGCAAAAAATATCAAAGTCCAAAGACAGGAAACAAACTTAGAAAAATATTTGCAACACGTGACAAAGGGCTGATGTTCTTACTATGTAAAAACTCTTGCAATAAGATAATTCAGTATTAAAATGGGCAAAGGAAATGAACCAATGAACAGAAACAAATTATGAAAGGCTCGTTAACGTATGAAAAAATGGCTCCACTTCAGTAGTTTAAAAAGTGCGAATACAATTATGTTTTTACCCATTAGACTGGCAATGATCAAAAAGCACGATAATCTTTGTAGCTGAAGATGTGGGGAAATGCACTCCCGTACATCCATGATGGACGTTGAAATTGGTACAACCTCCTTGAAAGGCAGCACTGTTTGTAGTAGCAAGGAAGAAAACAACCTCGATATCCAGAAAGCAAAGCTAGTTCTATAAAATCCATGCAATGGAATACCAGGCAAAAAGAATGAAGTGATCCCAAAGTACTGTTGAGGAAGAATGGCCAAGAAAGACATGAAAAAACACAGGATCTGGAACAGTGTGAATGAAATACCCTGTGAGCAGCAAAAAATAATAATGAATAATAATAATAAAGGAGAGAGGGCCGGCCCCGGGGCTTGGTGGTTGGGTGAGCGCGCTCCACTGCTGGCGACCCGGGTTCGGATCCCGGGCGTGCAC